GGGGGGGGGGGGGGGGGAAGCAAATAATATACATTGATTATGATGGACATTATGAACCACAGGAATCTACACACCTGAAATCAAAAAAAGAAATTTCAAATGTAATGGGAACACTTTTTAAATTCTGTAATTCTATTATCTAAGCATGTATTTTACATATGTACATGTACACGCGCACATACACACACATCAAACAATAGCTTGTGTTTATACATATGTAATAAAGGATAGATGAAGACTGGAAAAAAGAAAACAAAGGAGGTAGCCACATACAATTCACATAATCATACAAATTGATAAATTCAGAAGAAATGTCTGGATACAAGTCTATTTTAATCTAAACTTTTCTTAGGCTGTTCTTTGTAACAATGCCAGTTCACTTCATTCTACAATCCAGTCACTGATACCCACAAGCAGTATTGATTTCCATTTGGTTAAAATTGGACAAGACTAAACTAAAATAAATGATGCCAGTTTACAAACATACTTTTGGGGCACACTACGAAGATCCAATGCCAGTATATAATTACTGCCTTTTTTAAAAATAATGCTTAGACAGTATCATCATCATCATATGCCTCAGAAAATCAAATTAATAAATCAATACCGAAGCACTGAAATGTGAGATTTCAGCTCAATAGCATGCTAAAGCAAAGAAGTGCACTTCTCATTTGTTCTTCTTAGAGGGTTCAGAATTAACTACTTATGGTTGTGCCTTGGGCCCTGTCCATATAAACAATTATGCACATACTTACCTTTTATAAACACAAGTTTAAATTTCCAGTTTACATTATTTGACTGCAAAATCTGAAGCCTCGTATCCTAATGTCATACAAGACAGTTTTTATCTAAAATCAGATCATTGCCAGCCCTCCTGGTTGCTGCAAAAAGTGTGAAAAGTTACTCAAGGGCACCTAAAAATGTCAAAGGCAGCAAATGAAAAGGAATCTACTATGCAAAACAAGCACAAAAAATCTTTTAAGAGTTTGGGGGAGGCAATAATTTAATATCAATATGATTATTCTCATATCTACGGGTAAGCAAGTGGTAGGTGTCTGCTGTATCAAGACCTCATCAATTATACTCTGAAAACTCCCTAAAGCATGACATAAAATGGGTGTCATACCCAAGATCAATTGTATAGCATTGTCTATACAGGATGACTACCTTATAATTATAACTGCTTTGTATTGGATGGTTTGGATAGGAATGATCCTGCCTGATGCAGAAGGACGGCCTAGATGATTTATGGAGGTCCCGTTCTGCCCTACTCCTCTGATTTTGACTGATGCAAGCAAACATTTCCCAACAACAAAACATTTTTTATAATTATAATTGTGGTTTGCTTGCTTGGAATCCAATTTATTTTGGCTGTTCATAGAAATAAAGGATACAATTCAGAACAACAACAAAAAAATTAATAAAATTCCTGTATATCACCGCACTTCTCCAAAAACTCCAAGGTGACACGTTAATCCAAAAGACTTCTTAATAAAATATTGAAGTAAAGCAATGTTCTACAATTGAGCAACCTGAACTACCACATACCCGTTCAACTCTAATTAAAAGGCACATTAGTAGTATTACAACTCAGGAATGACAAGGATTCACATTTCATCTTACTTAGATAACCTCTCAATGACAAACAACTTCCTTTAAAACATTACTGGTACCAAAGAGAAGAAGCAGCTGTTCATTTAAAATGCCTGTTTTTTGTTTTTAAATCAAGTTGCTAGAGAAAGTACAGTATATTTTAAGGATGTATGTGGTAGCCATGTTGGTCTGAGACAAAAAGAAATACAAAAATCTAAAACTCTTGGTTCCAAAATAGTATCTTTTATTAGACCAACTGGGAAATTGCAAAAAAATATATTTTTTTCTGTGGTTTCTCAGTTAGTCTAATAAAAGATATAATTTTGGAACCAAGAGTTCTAGATTTGTGCAGTGTATTTTAACAACTCCAAGGATTTAACAAGCTGTCAAATATAGGTTTCTTTTTAAAACGGTGCTTTTCTTAAACATGTTTTCAAGTCCCTTCCCTTCGAAAGAAACCTCCCCTCTCATTCCCATACACACATACTCAAAAGCTATTCTATATATTTCACATTATTCTTTCCCAACCTATGATGCTGGTAAATCAACCAAAATGTTTCTAACAAACCTGAGGTTGTTTTAAACAGCAACATTAAATTTCCCTTCAGGTTTTATCAACACATGTTTAAACTTAGAAGAAAAAAAAAAAAAAAAATCAGTAAAGGGAAAATTCCTTACAAATTTCCAAGCTATTATAAACTAAAGAATGGAAAACAAAGCAAAGCAAATAGTTCAAAAGATAGTAAAACATATCTATCTCCATTAAATTGAAAACAAGCATCTGTAAACAGTGAAACCAGCAACCATAATATAAATAATGATGCCAAAATTACTGCTTATTGCCATTATTTTATGCTGGGAAATGTATCAGCTTCCATTATGAGGTTCTCATGTGGCCCAAACCCTTATTACTTAAATAAAATACATTTCCAATACATCTGCTGCCATCAATTTTGTCTCAGTTGATAATGGAAATAGTTTGGAAATCTTAAGGGGCATTTTTTTCACCTCTACATCACTTTTTTGACCTAAACACATGCGTGCGTGCGCACATGTGCACACCCCCTCCAATAATAGACACAAATTTGGCACTTTCATGGAGGTTGAGTAGCTTATGGAATGAAAAGAAACAAGATTACTACTTTCACTGTAGAGATGCCCTGGTTCCAGATGAGGAGTACAGTCTGTGAAGTAGAAAAGCAAGGACTGCTACTGTCTCTGTCCTGTCTGCTCTGTGAAAGATGTACATCAGTAGCTTGTTTTAACAATCAAACATCCATTCACCAGCAAGTGTTTGTTTTTTTTGTCTTAGCGTGTTCTTCAGCATATTAATTAATTAATTGTAATAAGTGTGCTTTCTCTTCTGTAAAAGTTTATAATCCACTAACAGTAAGTGGTGGCATAACAGAGGGGAAGGAATAGGAACAACCGACCCAGGTACAAATTTATGCAGGGTGTTGGGGATGCAAAAAAATGTGGCTGCTGCTGGCAGCTGCGTGCTCATGTTCACCACTTCCGCTCTACCGTCGGCAACCAGCTGCATCCATACACTGCTGAAAATAACTGGTCAGTGTATGCACCAAGGCTAAGTACAGATATTTGGGGGCATTAGGGGAAAGTTAAATAGTTTCAAAATAGCTGCCCAATATCAGGCAAGTCAAGATGGTGGGGGGGCTAGAAGGGGGTTGGAGGTCCAGCAGGCTGGAGGGAATTGGGGATCCATCAGGGGATGAGGAGAGGCATGACCCATGAAGGCTGGGGGACAGGCATGCCCCGGCGGAGGGGGAGGTGCGACACCCAACTGGGGTGCAGGTACAACCTGAGGGTGGGAAGGGGACAGGCACAACCCACAAGGTTTTGCTGTAGTCCAGGAGTGTCTGGCAGGATCAGGGGAGCTCAGAGGGTCCATAGGGGGGAGGGGAAAGATCGAGGGCTACTTTTAGCCTCCTGACCCATCCCCCTTAGTGAACCTACAAACCCATCCCTCCCTCCCCTCCCCCCCACTGGGACTTACTTGCTCAGCTCCAGCAGCAGCTAATGCTGACAAAAACGGCTGCATTTGCAGTCACTTATGGGATGGGGGTTAAGCAGGCTGGCTGGTCTGGGGAAAGGGGCTGGGGGGTGCAAAACATAGCCCCATGCAGGAGGAAGGGGTGGTGAACAGAGCAGCTAAGGTCAGTGGCTTGGTTCTCAGGCCAAGGGCTGTGCAGGGAAAGTATACATAAGTTCCATGCACCCATTTGACCTAAATCCAGTAAATTTGATACTACAAATCCAGGTTCATCTTCAACCAGGTTCTGCGAATTTTAGACTGATTTGTGTGTATGGGACTTCTATATGGTTACAGGTTTAGATGGATTGCCAAACAATCCATCTAAACCTGAGACCACATCTGTAAGTGTAAGGTGGCACCAGGACAAGCTAAGTTTAAATCAGGTGGTCATTTTGAACCCAATTTAACCTCCCCAAATGTCTGGACTCGGCCCTAGGGACCATTGGGCATGGTTTACTAAGTTTCACCAGTATCTTTTAAAAAAGCATTTTGGGGATCAACAGAACCTTCTATTAACTTTTCAGGCACCAGAATTCTGCATTTTTCTAAAGGGTGCAGCTCTATATCTGCCTCACAAAACCTCAAAAAAGGATGCTGTTTGACCAAATGAATCATTTTAACAAAATGTACATTATTCCTAATGTTGTGTGTCATATAGTCAATTATGCCCATACAGACTCTGCCCTTTCTGCAATCTAAAAGAAGAGGTTTGAAATGTCAACATTAAGTCACTGACTATAATATGCATCAATATAGCTTAGAAACTCAAAATAGTGTGCGTTCTCCTGAGCATGAAAAGAGCTTTCATTTTATCAGATGGATTACCAGGTCACACATATGCCATGCAGTAGAATATAGAGATTCAAAACTAATTTAGCTTTGAAAGTAGCATTCTTTTCCTAACATAAGAAATATTTGACAATTTTCATATATTTTAGTTATACGAGGTTTGTACAAACGCACATCTGTTTATATAAACCTGGCTTTGGATTGAGTAACCAAAAAAGGGTATCTTAAACTACAGCAGATCTGAGACATGAATGCTCATGGTCAAGAGAAACTTATCTGAACTTAGCCATATTTCACATTGGCTTTGCATCACAGAGGAAGCATCCTCTCATTGCTGAGGAACTAGAATTGGTCTCAAGACTTGTGCATTCCGTTCCGGGCTTTTTTTTTTTTTTTTTTATTTAAAGGTTTCTGTGCTACCTTAACAAGGTCTCTCTCCATGTACTCTCCATTTTCTATCCATAAGAAGGGACCACAATCCTTTCTTCCCCCTTATATTGTGTCTGGTTAATCTACAATTGTCTACACAGATTGTAAATTC